GAGAGCTGACACAGGAGGGGTTAAGTGTGCAGGTGCAGAAATGTTGCCCAAGTCTGGGGCTCACCTGCTACAGGAAGTGCTTCCTGGCAGGAAGTCTGTGGGGCTTCTGGTTGTGTTGAATTCATCTCCGTTTTCCAGCTGTTCTACCCAATCTTGACACTGGATCCTAACCCAGGCAGCATCCCTGAGTGACTCTGGGCTGCTTTGCCTGTTTCCTTCTCTGTTACTCTACCTGTCTCCTTGCTGGTGAAATAGAACCTATTCTCTAAGCTCGGAATGACTCTGACTTGACATTCTTCCTTTTCCACCACTTCTTGGGGTGAACCTGCTAAGGAATCAGCATACACCCGCCTCCTACCTGCTGGTCCATCTCCTCTTCTCCAAACCTGGGGGTCCTGGAGTTCTACAATCAGCCTCAGGTCTCCCTGGCCTCTCACCAAGCAGCATTTAATATGGGTAGATAGTCAGGGACCATTGCTCAAATCTGTAATCCTAGCACTTAGAAAGCTGAGACAGGAGGATCATAATCCAACGCCAGCCTTTGTTACATAGAAAGTTTGAGGTTAGCCTGGACTACATGAGACATATCTCAAACCAAACAAACCAAACAAACCAGAGGCAGTGAGATTCTGTGAATTCAAGACCAGCCTCCTCTATATACATAAAATGTTCCAGGCCAGCCAGAGCTACATAGAAATTAATTTTTAGGTTGGGAGTATGACCCAGTGGAAGAGCAAATGTTTAGTATAGGTGAGACCCTGGTTTCAATCTAACCACTGAAAGTAAAATTATTTAACTCAACACATAATGCAGTTAATATTCGAGTCCAAGGTCAAACCCACACTCATTTTATGAGATAGTCTACCTCCATAAACCTTGGCTTGACCAGAGTCAGCCTTCAGGGCTGAGGGAGAGACCTTTCATCTCTGAAGACCCAGGAGGTGTTTGCCTCTCTGAACATGCCCTCACCTGTCCCCCCACAATGGCCCTTGGATGAGACAGCACTCAGAGATTTTAGCTGCAGCCTCCGTCTGCCTTCCCACAGCAATCTCCCTTCGGGAAACAACAAGACAGAACCCATGTTCTCTGAACGTAGGAAGCTGCTTTCCATAGCTCTCTGCCGAGTGGTAGGGGTAGTTGGTATGGGGAGTCAAGAAGCTGATCTTTGAAGGACAAGCTGCCTGGGATGGAGGAGTAGGCCAGCGCCCTTTGCTGATGGTAGCATAGATGGAAGTTTAAGGTCTGTGTGTGTTGAGTGGAAATGATATGTCAGGGACAGACAAGACTTCTCGCCTGACCTGTGTAGAAAGCTAATCTCTCCCCCCTTGCTGGGAGATCAAGGTCCAGGACTTAGGCTTTTTTGCGCCATCCCTGGGCACAATGACACAATCAGACTGAAAGGTGGAGGAAGAACGAACCTCTGGAAGCTTTTGGACAAGCTGGCATAGAACAGGTGCTCACACAGAAAGGGGAGTCAACTGAGAGCCCAGGACTGGCCCAGGGCCCTGGGGACACTGTCAGATCCAGCAACACTGGTGGTGGGGGATAATAAAATGATTATGTTCAAGGGAAAGAGAAGACAAAGGATGACGTGGAAACATGTGCTGGACAGGAATGCAAACCTGACTCAGGATCAGAGGCTTCTTGCAACATATGTTTCATTTTCCTGTTCTGGGACATGTGGGGGCAGGGACAGTAGGGGAGGAGGAGGGAGGACGGAGAGGAGATAGGAGAGGAGAGGAGAGGAGAGGAGAGGAGAGGAGAGGAGAGGAGAGGAGAGAGGTAGTGCCTGTGTCCCTGGGGTTTTTTCAGACAAAGCTATTATCGAAATGCCAACCTGCTCCTGCCTGGCCAATTTGCATATTCCACGCTGAGCTCTCGGAAGCAGGCTGAATATGCATGAGGGCTTGGGTAGAATGTGAGGCTGCCAGGCTGTGGGCTAAGGTGGCTCATTGTTCTTCAGAAGCAAGGCGTTCAAAAGCCAAAGCACCTCCCTGGTCAGCAGAACGGCCTGTGCGTCCCCTCCCAAAGGATAGAAGAGAGCAGACCCCAGGCTCAGACAGAAATCCTCTCAGCCTCAAAAAGAAATACATAATCAGGCGCCATCAAGAATGGGAGTGTCTCTTCTCTAAAAGTAGCATATAATTACCCCTCTCTCATGAATGCTAATCCTGGAGGCTGTCTCAGGGATGAGAGTCACCTCTCCTGGCTTCCGGGAAATGAGGCTCCTCTCCCTATTTCTTGCTTTCTGAACAGGAAAAACTTGCATTCTGGGATGCCCCAGCTTTCAACCTCCTACGTAGAACCTATAATGTTCTCAGTGGCCAGGTTGTGGTGGGAGAGCCTAGGACATGATTGGGGCTCAGGCGTGCGGATGATATGGTTTTGGTCAAGTCCTTGAAGCTGTAAGTTATAATGCATCTTAAGGTACCTGGTATGTGCTAAGGGTATAGATCAGTTGGAAGAGCATGCCTCTCTTGGGCAGTCCTTGGTTTGATGCTAAGCATACACACACTTTACAGTAGACGATCACTCCAATTCACTGACAGTCTCCAGCTCCTCATGACCGCTGGCTGAAGGTAGTTCCACTCCAGATGTTGTCGTGAGAGTGGAAAGCTCTTAGAATTTCACAGAAAATTCCAATTCGTCCTACAAAACTTAGGGCCGACAAAACACTCGCCACGTTTTCATCCCGAAAGACCACGGCTGTCTCCCGTCCTCAAACAGATAGAGGAAGGTCGGAGAAATGTCCATTTCACCCCTCTCCCATATGCTTCCACTCCACATAATTAAAGGTTGGCCTCCAGCACCATAATGAATTTTCTTCCTGGGACATGATCAGACTAGATTTAGAAAAATCCTTTAATAGAAACACACTGGAATTCAGGAAGCCCCCAGCAACCCGACCACTAACCTACCTAGGATGGCTCCTGAGAGGTGGGACTCTCCACCACTGATTGACTGTTGAAAACCTAAACGCGGTGTGGGTTTTGTGATGCAGTTGTTTGATGGGCCCTGAGATGCAGCTCACCGTTTGGGCTTCCCCTCCTGCCTGTTTTCTTATGGTATTCCAGAATGTTGTGGGAATGGGGGCAGAGAAGAACATTGGTTTCGCCTCTTAACACTGTCTGGACCTTCCTTGGGTTCAGGTTGCATTCAGAGCTCTAGGTATCCCGAAGAATTAAAGGAAAGCTTTCCTCATACTTGATGTGAACACCTGCTATACAGAGGGCCAAGGATTTTGTCTCTCTTCAAGATGCGGTTAGTACGGCTGGACACCAAACTTGACTCACGGGGACAGAGGGAAGGAAGGGCAGGTACTACAGAATCTTGACAGATGGCTTTCACATTCCCTCTTAGAAAAGGTGAGAAAATGGAGGCACCCTTCTCCCCCTTTCCCTGAAAACCTGCTCCTGCAATAAGAGGGTCCCAGACACTTGAGATTTATTTTTAACCACCACTGGCTTTGATTAGCTTGTCTCTGGTTGCTTCAGACACCTGCTGGCAGGATAAATTGGGGAAAAAGAAGTGGCTGACCCAGATCCGATAAACCCAAGGCAGGAAGAAAATCTGAGGGGAGGGGGGGCTCACTAGTTCCCTTTTGCTGGAACTGATGAGATGTTAAATTTCCCAAAGATCTTGTGTCACCAGCGATCTTTGGCATCTGTAGCCTTAGTGTTGATGAATTTCAGAATTGAAGTTATCTCAATTTTGTTTTGTCAAAGACCTAATGTCCATGACAGTGTATGGATTCTGACGATGTGTACGTGTGTTTTGTAGTCTTCTTCCACCTTATGTGACAACCTCCGGGGGTTCTACGTATAGCTTGGTGCCATAAACACACAAACACACATGATGGAGCCGTGGGTACTTAGGTAACTTTCCTGGTAGAGTAAGGCCCTCCTCCTTTGGCCCTCTCCCCAAAGATTTCCCCTTTTCCACTGAAAAAAAAAAAAAAAAAAAAGCAGAAGCCTGAGAAAACAGTGGCAGAGAACCCACCCTGTCTGTCTTCCACTGTCACTGTCGTCGAGCTCTGTATGGAGTGGCCCAGGTGGTTAAGCAAGCACTATGTCCCCAAAGCATCAGTGAGCATCTACTCGGGTGAGACCAAAGTGTCAGTCCATCTCTACTATGTCCTAAATAGCCTCGGGCAAGTGGCTGAGCATCTCTGCTTCATGGTTCTCTCTCCCAAAAAACCCAGAAGGTATGAATCTGTACCTGCTTGTGACTCTAGGTTGCTGTAATGTAAGACAATGTGTAGAAAGTGATAGGGCTGGCAGCCAGCACAAAGGGACCACCCCATTAAAAAAAAATTATTTTTGAAAGCCAGTTGGGTGGGAATTGCAGGGTTAGTATCATTCAGGCTAGGAAATGAAAGGCACGTGAAGGGAGTCAGGCTATGCTTGGACAGAATCAGCACCCAGGATACAAGGGCGGCATTCACCTGCTGAGGCTGACAGATGCCCACTATGGAAGCCAGAGACTATATGAAGGTGTTAGTGCCACTGGTCCTTGGGGCCTCGGGAAAGAGGACCAACGTTATAAGATGCTGTTCCCACAGGCCATTGAGGGCAGACAAGGAGCGGTGATAAATCTCAGTGCAGGAAAGAGATGTAGTCTCCCAGGTAGTTGAGGTCAGCAAAACTACTTCTCTCCAGTCCCTGAGCTCCAAGGACCCTGAAATCCAGCTTGACAACCCCAGTAAAAAGCACTGCAGTGTACCGGCATCTCTCTCTCTCTTCTTAACTTCAGACTAGCTAGTTTCTATCACACATTTCCAAGCAGTGGAAACTTAGGAAACCACAGATAGCCTCCTTTTGTAGAAAAGGCAACCTCACTACATCACATGACCCCACCATTGCCTACCCTGGGGAATTAGTGCCATGGCCATAGACCAGCATCTGAGGACAGTCAGACATCGTTTCCCTAGAGGGTTTGGAACACAGAGGCAATGGACACCGCTCTCAAAAAAAAAAAAAAAAAAAAAAGCATGAAGAATATTAATTAAATGAAGGTTTATTTCAAAATTAGTCTTAAGAGTATAAGCTGGGTTGAGGGCTGGAGCCAGACTACATAATGAATGGTGAGGGCACCTGCCTTCCCCAACACAGGTGGAGAGGGGGCAGAGTCACCGGCCCTGCGCCCGATCATGCATTCAGTGATTACTAGCACTAGAAGCCGACAGCAAAGCATCCCGCGCGCGGTTTCTCATGTTTAATTCAGGTCAAGCTCTACACGTTTAAATACACGCCGGAGGTTACGTGGTGTCATGCAATCCCAGTGACGGAATGACTTTCTTGCTCGGTGACCTCCTGCAGTGAGGCTGCTCCAACAGTGAGGTTAGGTTGGACAGAGCACTGAAACGAGAAGAGGAGAGAGGTCATACAGGGATCACACACACCGAGCAGAGAGCCACACAGAGGCCCAGGCAATGGCTGCAGCCCTGAGTCATCCCTCCGAGGACAGAAGAGAATGACAGGTGTCCATTACAGTATCAAGCACTGTAGTCTCCAGAGCCCATGGATCTAACTCTGTGGCTTTAAGAAGATGCCTTCCCCTTCCACTCTTGCTCTTCATCCACACACGAGGATATACCGGAACTACTCGTAGGTTGCTGAGAGACTTGTAAAATATGCTCCATAAATATTAACTACTTTTATAAATTCACTGACATTTCATCGGGTCACATGTCAACTCACCCATGTCACACAACCCATCTCTACAAACTTCTTTGAAAAATCTCTATTCTTGCAAAGTCTTTAAGGGTCACAAGTTCTTCCTAATTTTTAATCTAAATTCTTCCTATTGAAATTTAATATTAATCTCCCTGATCCTCATAGAAAGAGTACAGTTTGGGATTTTATAACCAAGTTCCATAAAACCTCCTGCAACTCTTGTGAGTTTTGTATGAAGGTGGAGCAAGAATTCGTAGGATGTTGGGTCTAGATAGTGTGTTGTCATCGATGGCCAGTAAGAGACTGAAAGAAGACACATGCAGACAGTGTAGGGTTCTTCAAAGGGGTCTACAACCACCCATTATGTCTGTTTGGCAAAAGATTCGAGCTTGGATCTGATCAAGCCTCTTGTTCCATTAGTTACAATAAACAAAGGAGACAGAAGAATAGACTAAACTATACCTTGGACTGAAATAAGAATCTAGGACAAAGATATTCTACAACTTAACAAATGAATTTAAATGAAGGAAGAAGGGAGAAAGGGAAGGCTATAGTGGTTGTTGTTGTTGTCATTGTTGTTTTTAAGATACGTTAGTGGCTGGGCATAGCACTGATCCCAGCACTTGGAAGGTGAAGGCAGGAAGATCAGAATTTCAAGATCTTCCTCAGCTACATAGAGTTTGAGGCCATCCTGGGCTGCATGAGATTCTGGAGGAGGGGTGGAGAGGTAGAGAGAGGAAAAGTAGAGAGTTGGGGTGGGAGTGACTGAGACACAAAGACAGACAGACTTAGGAGATAAATAATCAAATTTTATGGATCTTCGTCAGGTCCTGATATAAACTCAAAACATCGTATGGGAAAAACCAAGGTGAGCTGTACAGTGATTAGGTCACCAGTGCCACTCAGTATGCTTAATTTTGTAGTTGTAGCCTTCCCTCTTCCCCCTCTGTTGTTCTGGAAATGGACCCCAGGGCCTCGTACTGGCTAGGCAAGGACTCTACAACAGAGCACCACCTTGTCCCTATTTCTTTAGTTGTGACAACAGCATTGTGGCTATGTGTCCAGTTCTTTGGAATATACACTGAAATATTTGTGGATGAAAAAAAAAACTAACAGAAATCTGCTTTAAAACAGTATTCCTGGTTAAGATTTTATAAGCCTTAAATGGAGTCATGGGCTGGAGACTTGGCTCAGGAGTTAAGAGCATTTGCTGCCTTCCAGAAGAGCCTAGGTTCAGTTCCCAGAGTGTAAGAGCCACCAGATTTCTCTACAGTAAATCCTTTGTTGGTGCCCTGTTCCTCATGAGGACTCATAGTGGTAACCTGAAGTAACAGAATCTCTTCAGGCCTGCTAGTGATACCCATTACCTAGAAGCCCTCATGACGACCATGTGGTGTGTGTGACTACTGCCTTGGTCGGCCTGGTGTGGGTGCTCCAAGAGAGTTTCAGCATGAGCTCCACAGCTTGGGCAGGAACTCAGAGGACCCTTCTGTTCTGGGAGGAGGGCAGCTGCTCTCACCTTTTAAAATGTAGTCCGTTAGCAAAGTAGGCACCTTCTCGTTATCCTCCTTCATGGCAAAAAGAACTAGAGAAGGAGAGAGAGAGAGAGATCAGCCCTATCAGGGTATGAAGATACTATCAAGGTATGAAGCTTAAATCTAAGGCTGGACAACTCCCATCCTACGCAAGAGAGAAATGATTTGAGGAAGCCTGGCATTCGTTGAGCATGAAGTAGATACATTACTCTACAAGCTTCTATCAAGACTCAGAATCTCAAGTTGAGCAAGAACACACCCAGAAAGCCACAGGGCTGTCTTTGCAATGTGGGCCTACCAGTGACTTCTTTAAATGTTCCCCTTTCGGTTCACCTACACTTCCTATACATCTACCAAGTATGTATTTTTGACAAAAATAAATAATTGCCAAAGCGATACCTAAATGTTAGTAGCAATTGCTGAATCACTAATAAAACTGTGCTGTTTGGGTTTTTTTGTTTATTTATTTATTTTTTTATTTTTATTTTTTTGAGACAGGGTCTCACTTTATAGCCCTGGCTGGCCTGGAACTCACCATGTAGACCAGGATGGCCTCAAACTCAGAGACCGATCTGCCTCAGCCTCTGGAATGAAGCGCATACCTCACTATGCCCAGCTATGAAACTGTCTTTAAGGATATTCTACTCACAATAAATAATTCTCACCTCCAGTTTATTGGGCACAAATGAAGTTTATCTAATGAACCTGTATTCTTTGTTATGTCCTGTGGGGAGGAAACGAAGTCCTGAGTGAGTGAGTATTGTTGACAGAGTACAGCCTGGAGCCAGTTCAAGGGCCCTGAAGCCTCAGACCCAGAGAAATGGCAAAGCCTTCCCCCAGGTGAGGCTTTGGGGAAGGGAGGACAGCAAAGCTTTTCTCGGGTCCGAGTATGGTTATTATAAACGATTGACCCTTAGCTAAAGCCAGTGTATGCCAGGACGTCAGCCGTATCTTCCTCCCTCCATTGACTGCAACCTGAAATTACTCCCTTATAGAGATCAGCTGACTTCCTTCTTCCTTGTTCAGCTGTGTACAGTAAACCCACCACTTCAATTCAGTTGTATAAAATTAATGTACTGAGGTTCCAGGCTTCTCCTGGTACATCTCCATTACAGCACGTGGCCTACCCAATCCCAGCTTTTCTGACTGTGTGTCTGTCCTTTCTGCTTTCATCATTACCCTAGTTAGGTCAACCCTCAAGCCATGCAGGTCACAGCAATGTCCGTTACAGGGTTAGACTACGCAGAGCTCAAGGCCTGTGGACTCTCAGGGAGTCTACCCGGCTCTTGCTGAAACACTTCCTTGATGTACACAAGAAACAAACAGTAGGAAAACTTCTAAAGCCTACGGACTTTTTTTTTTTTTTTTTTTTTGTTTTTAGATAAAGGGTTTCTCTTTTTGGTTCTGGG